AAAAAAAAAAAAGAATCAAAAATTCAATTTTTTTTTTGATAAATGCTAAAAAATAAAAAAATCTTGAAAAGTAAAAATAAAAATAGTTCAACCTCTTAGTGGTTATTTACATAAAAAATTCTAAAAAATATATTTAAATAAACATAGATAAAATTTTCAGTCCATATCATTAATTTTTATTTTCTGTGTTTTGCCAACTCATATATATATATAATTTAATAATACATTAACATAAAATTATTCTATTTTTACTTAATAATCAAATTTTATAGAATAAAATATCATAAAACACATTCTCCAAATTCCAAATCAAATGGGTTTTCTAGTTTTCTATTTTAAGCAACAGTTTTTCAAAATTGACAAACCAAGCGCATTTTTAAAAATGTTGAAAAAGACACTCAAAATATAAAATTGAAAATAAATTTAAAACTCAAAACTTAAAATTGAAATATAAACCAAACGGATCCTTAGCTTTTTCCTCGAGAGATCTCCCCATGCAAGCATGGCGGTATATATTGTTCAATAGTCTTCTAGACGTCTTGTTATTGACCATTTTGGATTAATTGGTGCAATTAGGTTTCTTGGACAACTTGTGTTCATTCAACAAGTTTCCGGGAAACTTCTCGTCATAAATTTCAACAACTTGACAAGTTGCAAGCACAAGATATATATTTTCGTACACCGAGTTGAATGGGACAACATAATTATTTTGTTTAAATTGTATCTTCTTTGATATCACCCAGTTTTGTTCGATAACATGTCAAGTATGATTGTAATATTTATTTCTTGACAGTGTTAATATTTGTTAAAATAGACTTATTATTTGATTAGAAAATTTAAAACGTTGGGTCAAGTCAACATTTAATTTTAACTTGCAACCACGAGCTTTTTTACAATTTTTACTCAACTTTCAACCATAAGTTTTATCAACTTTTTTCGAAATCTGCTAAAACTTGTGACAAAATTTTTATCAAGCACCCCTTAATTTTATTTTATATTGATTAAACAAAAAATTACTTAAAATAACTTTTTAAGTTTTTTAAGCTTGTCAAAATTACTTAATTTTGTTTCTACTTTTGTAGCCGAATTCTTAAATCCAATCCATCCATTTTCTGTTCACAAACATCTCTTTTTTTGTTCTCACTCCTCTAAACAGTTGAGAAGTATGGACATTAGAAAGAAACTGAGTGCTTTTCTTGGAAAAGGCTTCAGAACCACCAAATTCAGATCGAACATCAAGCTGGCCATAGCCCAGCTTTCGGTTCTCAAGAACCAGCGCCGAGCACGGTGTGACGTGGTTGAGATGCTTAAACTTGGAAACCATGACAGGGCTCTTCTTAGGGTAATTTCATTAACTCAAGGAGTAGTCACTTACTCTCAATCGTACTTCAACTCATCCGAACTCGGGTTTTATTCCTTTAGTGCGTTTGAAATGGTTTGTTAATAGGTAGAGCAAGTGATCAAGGAACAGAATATGTTGGATGTGTTTGCTATTATTGAAGGCTATTGTCATCTGCTGAAAGAGAGGGTCAACCTCATAGAACAAGAAAAGTTGGTTTCTATTGAGATTTTCTAATGGTTTTTAAAGAACTATTCAAACGTTTTTATATATTTAAGAAGGTTATTATTCTTTCTTTCTGGTAGAGTATGTCCTGATGAGTTGAAAGAAGCTGTATCAAGTTATGTGGCCATAAGGTGCGGGGAGCTCCCAGAACTTCAAGAGATACGAGCAATTTTAACATCGCAATTTGGGAAAGAATTTGCAGCTAGAGCTACTGAATTGCGCAACGGATGCATAGTAAATTCTCAGGCAGGCAACTACATTATTTCTATACTAATACAGTCAAAGCTAAGATCATTTAATTAATTTTCTTTATAGATCATACAAAAATTGTCAACTAGAGTGCCAAGCTTGGAGAACAAAATGAAGGTGCTTGAGGAGATTGGTGCAGAGCACAACATTGATCTACAAATTGAAACGGCTGCTTCAGTCCTTGCAGTGGTATGGATATTATTTTGGCGACATTTCAGTTCGTTTTGTTCATTTATTTGTATTAGGACGAATGTGCTCAATATACAACGAAATTGAAAAAAAAAAACAACATGGAGATAGTGCTGATTAGATTAATCCAGTATCGTAAGCATAAGCGTAGAGTATGAGCAGGTTCCACAAAAAACCAACATTGTGAACATTTATTGATAACTTGGCTTGTGCTAATTTCAGGAAAATCTAGAATCAGGCACAGAGAATCAGCAAAAGCCAAACCCATTGACCACATTAGGAGTATCTAATCCAGATGAAAATATGCCAACAAGGCCTGAAGTAATAGAAAGGGTTGAAGTTTTATCTGATTCAGTGTACACTGATGTAGGTGATGCAGCCCAAGAAGCTTTCGAGTATGCATCTTATGCAGCGGCGGCCGCGAGGGCTGCTGTGGAACTATCTCAGTCTGAATCAACTGACCTGACGGTCCTAGCAATCCCATTGTCTGGGCAAGAATTGAGCCTATGAACTCTAATCTTCTTACTAGGGAGAAGGAAGCGGTTGTCAGATTTGTGGATGCAAAAGTAGAACTGAGATTCAAGAAAATTCACCCAATTCAAAACTACAGTTCCAATTCTAGTATTGAGAGAAGCTAGAACAGTAACTAAGAATGGAACAGAATTTAAGATATCGCTATCTGGTTCTAGTTCATTCAATAGATGACAATGTCAATGAAACTAATATATCCTTTGATGAAGAGAGTCGACTGGGGTGAGAGAGTTTTTGATGATAGTGATGATGTAACTGCATATACAAGCAGAACATCAAGGTCAGAGCCTTATTTCATGAATACCAGTGTAAAGGATGATATCTCGGAAGGAGGCAACACAAAACCTTATTGTTAATCTTACGAGAGTTTTCCTAGATCTCAAACTGGATTGAAAATGGAGTCCAGGCCTGAAAATTCTCAGAGCACTTTGCTGAAGAAATCAGGTCTCAAGGTGCAGATCATTTGAACGTCAACAAGAGATCAATCTCTGTAAGGACTAGATGGGACATATGGCCTGTAACAACCATACAAACTATAGTAGATGCTATATAATAGGACTGCAACTACTTTTGAGAGTTTGGTGAAAATAGCAAGTATTTTTTTCTCATCATGATATTTCTAGAAAATTACGTAATGGTTTTGATGGGTGGCACTTTTTTTTTTCTCTAATGTAAAGCACATAATAATCTAATAGATCACTAACTACTGAACAAAGACAAGCTCTTAGCGAACTTCACTGTTCTTGGGGGACATAAGATTGAAAATACTAGGAGAAAACATGCAGTTTAGAAGCTACTCCAAATAACATCTGCTATCATATAAGAGAACATTACTCAGCTATATCAAATTATGTATATTAGAAGAGGTTTCCTTATCAGCAGAGATAAAGTAACTTCAACAACAGCTAGATAGAGTAAACTTGCTATTTTTATTTGGAAGTACGATCATGACCAAGTGGTGATATGGTGTAGACGAAACGGTGATTTCTTGCAATAAAATCAACATGACAAAAACATGGATGAAAGCACAAAATGCAGAACTTTGTTTTTATATTGCAGGAGGAGCAGAACATAATTAATTTTCAACCTACTAGAGATATCATCTTCCTTGTCTGAAACAGGTAGTTGGTCAACCGCACACGTGCATCATTATTGTGACTTCTTACCTGTTCACAGTCATCTTAACAAAATTCTGCAGATCAACTCCAGAAATGTTAATTCTGGTTTCTAGATTCTATTTATCTAGATAGTTTGAACAAACGATATGGCCTAGTTATGTTCGAAAAGAGCATATAATATGTGTTTAAGATATTTGTAGCCAATATGCTCCTTCATTATGAGCATCCGCAAAACAACTGCCATCGTAGCAATGATATTTCCCAATATGACAGTGCCTACATTCCCCTGGCGTAGGCCCCAAGTTAGGAGCCAGAAGGACAATAATCATATGAAATGATAAGCAAATAATAAGAACGTAATACAAATTTTGCTTACCCACTTTCTGTTCTATGATGCTTAATATATAAGCATATCAAGAGTCATATGTCAATCACTACACACTTTAACCCATACTTACTAAAATTAGACTAGACTGGTTGGTTCATCTGGAAAACCGGTAAACCAGATGCTAGACCGGTAGCTACGAGTGGGTTCATGATAAACTATCTCTCATGTAGGTTGCCTTAGAGGAAAGTGTGTGGTAATTCTCAACAATCAGAAATTTCAAAAATGTGAATAAACTAAACAAGTAGGACATGGTTTCAACAGCTTCTCAGTTCATTTATAGTGGCCCAAATTTGAAGTGTAGGTACAATACTAGTATGAAATCAACTTAACTAAAATATGTTACATTAAAGATGAAACAAGTGACAACCCTACAATGGTGTCTAGGACAAATTGCCTCCACTCTGTTGCCACAGATTGATAATATCAGTGGCCTGATTAAGAAGTATAATCATTTTCTTCTGGGATATCCATGGCTTACTCTCTAGAGTCATCTTCAGCTCTTCCCATGCATCCTTCCTCGGCCAAAAGTAGTATGGACTCAAAGGCAAAGTGCCATGGCCAGGAATCATCTGATCCAGGCCAAGACCTATGTTCTTTTCCATCGTTATGAACTTCAATACCAGTCTAGGCTTCTCCGCTGATTTAACCACCACTCCTAGCTTCTGTAAATTAAATGATAACAAAGAGAAANGAGAGAGACTTGTACTCTTTTTTTTTCAATTAAAAAAACCTCTTGTATCAATATCAAAGTTGGCTACAATTTTGTAAGTGCAAGTAACTAAAAACACACATTATCAATAAGAATTCATATAACAAATCTACAGGCTCAAGAAAAATTCTATGTAAGCACCCTTCATACCCTTCGGTTGAAAACTAAACAAACATTGTGCCCATCTTTAACAGTTTAGCTTTTAGATGGTGTACCAATTAATGAAAATTTCGCAAGCATCATGCCATTGATTTAAAAAAAATAAAAAAATCTGACCTGCTTGGAGGGGTTGTTTGAAGACTAACGAAGCGGTTCAACTTAAAATTAGTAACTTAATTAATTATATGCGTGCAAACTCTGATTGAATGCATATGCAATAACTCAAATGAAATGCATATAGGTCTAGTGAGTCGAACCTCAGAGCTTTGTGCGAGTTCAGAGGCTGAAACCTCAGTGGGTGTTTCCGCTGGAGCTAATTCTGTGGCAGCGGCAGCAGAGGCGGAATCAAGCCTTTGAATTCTCTTAGTTTTGAGGCCAAGATGGGTTGATGAATGCAGAGAGAAAGCTCTGGGTTTCAATATATATGGGGTTTTGCAGGATGTGAAACAGGGCTTTTGGGAATTAAAAGAGGTGGATGCCAAAATGCTCTGCGTACTCGGTTGAACTTGAATTGATATCATCTTGTGCTCTTCCAGTCTTAAAACAAACACGCAGAGAGGGAAAGAGAGTTTCTATATATGAAAGGAAGCCATGGCCATTGACAAAGGTTGGGGGCTACCAATGTCATGTGGATAAGGTATCTGCCATCTAGGATGAGATATTGAAAAATATGGGATTCAAAAACAGTTTGCCTACTCTTATACTACGTAACTTTACATTGAGTGAGTGATTTTAACTCTGTTCACCATATACGGTGGAGAAATGGTGATAGATTTATGTATTTGGGGGAAAACTTTAAAGCTCTTGACAATCCATCAAATTGAAATTTCGAATGAGTCAACTTCACTTGGACATGAAATTGACTTGAGGGCGTTGAGCTCTTCTTTGTACTTTGTACAATCCACTGCGTGACGTGAATCTTAAAATATATGAAAGTCGAAAAGTAACTCGTACTCTTATATGTCGAGCTTGTTCGTAAATTAAATCATGTTACGTGAATCTTACACATTCTTTTGTCGACTTGTGTCAAATGATCATTTGTCCAAGGTAATGGAATTATTTATGATTATAATTGGGGCTTTCGAGGCAAATCTTATCACTAGCATTGGAAAAAGATTTGGTGCTGTTTCCACCGAAATCAACATTATCATTTCATAATTTGATGGATTATTTTGCGGGGCCCATCACATGTGACAACATCGTATGGTTTTCGTAGTACGCTGTTGGGTTGAAATTTGTTTGCAAAATCTCAACTCCACCTTTGTTACATAGTAATGGTCATTAATTTTGTATGAAGGAAAGGATTACAGCTATTGTAAAATCGTCACAATTTTAATATGAAGAATTTACTCAGTCAGTCGACTTTAATCAATTAAACACACAAAATCATAGAGATAATAGGATGGAGGGGGAAAAACAACAATTGAGGAATACAAATTAGCTAATCTTTCACAGAAACAACTTAAATTAAGCAATCAATTTTAAATAATCCTTTGATGTTTGACATGGGGAATTTAAAAGGTTAAATACATGAAAATTAAATTGAAAAAAGGAGAAACTATACACTTTCAATTTCTGTTCCTTTTGGCTTCCATATTTGTGGCATCTTTAAGTGATTCTTGAGCATCACTTTCCATCCCAAGGCTAAAGAGCGAAGCTGCTTGAAGGTAAAAGGCAGTAGGCCACTCAGGAGATATACCCTGTGCTTGCATAGCATCCCCCAGAGCATCATTAGGCATGTCGTTCATCAAATAAGACAAGCACCGTCGAGCGTAGACTGTCGGTGAAATCATGGTCCCACCATCAATGAACTACATAAACAACAACGGTTTTTCAATAAATTGTCTGAAATTAGACGTGCATTCATTTCTTGATCATCCAAGATAAAATGGAAAAATACTTCATCATGATAGTGGTGCCATGGAATTTGATACGTGTCTGCTCAAACAATATGTATGTTGAGTGTAGTTTCTTGTTTCAAAAGAATTATGTAGCAAATTTTGCACTTCAAGGTTTTTCAGAATGGTCAAAAATAGATTTGATGGCTACGCCAAACTAATTTATCAAAATACTATACCTGATTTATCAATTTACGGAGGCTATCAAATTTTGTCATCTCTGGAAGAGATGCCTGATTTCAGTGATGTGAACAATTCAAATGAGAGGCCAATGCAGACAAAGGTTTTTACCTGTGTATAGCAATCAATTGCAGTAGTGAAATCTTTGGCTCGAAAAGCAGTATCTCCATGCTTCTTAGAATTCAAGGTCTCCTGCATTTGATTTGTCCACATTTGAAAAGATAGCTGCAGGGACAAATTCCTTCAAAAATATTAGTATGATGATTATTAGTGAAAAAATCTGTGCAATAAAAAGCGAAATGAGGTGTAGCATTTGGGATGGAAAAGAAACTCAATTGATAGTGTTCTGATAGTGCTCCTAATAACTGCGAGGATTATTGAAGTGCAGTAGCTAAAAGCTTAACTTCTGAGAGGGGACACATTTATTTTATTTAAATTTAGTCTAAAACATCGCCCCTCTTGCGTGTAGGCTGAATTCATTTTTTCATCAAAGGCTCACCCCTCATTTTCTACCTGGGGGCCACCACACTAGTCCTAACATGTTATCGTAAGTAAGAACATGTGAACTAGACATGACTGTTGACCTTCTTTAGACAGAATTCCTAATTGGAGTAGCTATATAAAGCAAAGTACCAAGAACCTAATCTCATCTTAAATGAAACGACTTGATTCAGAAAACAAGAAAGATGTGAATGACTTATTATCATTTAGTTCTTTACTCTATAATTTGGTTCAACTTTTCTGCACAATTTGTAAAACATAGTCAAATTGCGGGAGTACAGAATGTAAGAAATTATAGATAAAATAGAAGATGTATATGCAAGTGTTTATAGGGATCACAGAGATACTAAAAGAGAGATAACAATGTACGAGTAGCATTAATTCAGAAGTACGACAGTGAGATCAATACAGACAAGGCAAAACAATAAATTGGCAGGTGCAAACCTCATTGGCGATCCCTTCATCATCTTTGTAACTAGTTTTTTCCAATATTTCATGTATGGCTGTAAGATCCATTCTCAAGCATGCTTCACCCATAGGTGTCAACAACAGTGGCTGAGTGGAGTTTGCATCTCCATGTGAAATGCCAAGTAAAACATGTGAAGGAACCTGATTGACAGATCAACGAGAAAGTATGCTTCAGGTCTAAAGGATTAACAAACTTCTGCCATATAGAGATTTGTCAAGTGTGGATGTATGAGCCACCACAGTTTGTAGTGCGTGCCCTTCGTATTTTCTGATATTTTGTAATTGATTAGTGACAAAATTTCATTGTATATTCTCAGGAAATAAAGAAACGAAAATATCAAAACTAATCATAGATGTAACTTCCTTTTAATTATACAGATGAAATTCAGAGTAATATAAGGATAGAAAACTGCAGGATAACAAGATTATGAAAGATTTGAAGTGGAAATCCATCAATAGTCCAAACAACAATCTTTGAACCCGGACAGAAAATACTTTATAAGAAATTAATGGAAAATGGTGGTTGTAAATATTTTTAATAATTTTTTAGATGTTTGCAAACAAATTGTACCACAAGCAAAGATGACTTAAATGACTTTTCCATAGTCCATACCTCGTTTTCTTTTTGAAGAGATATGAGAGAAGTGACTAGAGACTTAGCATTGGGCCTTTCTCGTGCTTCATATTGCAAACAACGGGTAGCCAATCGCACCAACTCAGTTCCATCATCATTTGAAAAATGGCCCTCTAAACAAGAATCCATAAGCATCAGAAAATTCTTGCCACGAATGAGATCAAGTGCCTGTAAGAAGACAGTGTATGGTTAATCAAACTCGTCATGAGAAGCGGTGTTAAAAAATGCCATCCAGCGGGAAAATTGTCTCTTAATGAACAGCAAAAGATACAAAATAAATATTGCCAACTGAGAACTATAGTATCTAATGTAGGCAATGACAACAACCAACAAACCGAATAGGTTTTCCAGGACCTTTGGATTACACATTAATCTATGTTGAATAAGTCCCTGAATAATTTCATGGTATGTCAAAGTTTATCTCTATAACTCGTACAACCTTGAATATCACCTTTAATGTTATGAATAGACATTATAACACATTTTCTTCATATCTTGCATATTTTTAATATCTTAAAGCTCATTAAATAATTGGACAAGTTAAAATTTAAGGTCAGGGGAAGTAAAAGGATGTCAACCAAGATAGAGATAGATTCAACAAATCTGATCTTTACACAGACAAGAACTTACATGGCTTGGAGGTATATGCTTTCCACTTAAAAGGTCAAGAAGCATGGTTCCGAAACTGTAAACTACGCTTTCTGGTGTCACTCTTCCTGCCATACATACAAGTAAACAAGTCAATAATTCGTATAAGTTGTGCCCTAACCTATGATGCTCAGACTCTTCAATTGGGACGATGTACTCGTGGGTATCCCTGTCGGATTCTTCAATTTAGAAGCGGACACAGCAGAAACATGGAAGGGAGATCGACATGGGAGGAAGCAGAAGTTGCAGGGAGATAAAGAGTGGGCCCATGATTTTTAAAACAATAAAATCAATTTTGAGGCATAAAACCAAGACTTTGGAGGCATGAAACCAGGCTCATTTAATGCTACACTCCCCAAAAATATTTATGTTTGCAAGATGTACCCTGGTACCCATAACCAAATTTTAGTTATTTTTAGCCATATCCATGTATCCTAAGTTTTTGAAGAAATGATCCAACTCCTAAATATATTCGAGCAACATAGGCCATAACATAGGAAAGGTGACAGATGATATCTCAAGCCTTCACGCTCAAGATCGCAGGGATTTGAAATCTTCAAAGGGAATTTATAATTTCAACATAAACATATATTAATGGCATGTTTGATTTGTGGATTGGACCTCATTGGATAGGATTGAGGAAGAAAACAAGCTAAAGTCTTACATGTGTACTGCTGTCTAGATACATACCAGTTCTCAAGTACTCTGGTGGAGTGAAAGCTAGGTTTGTGCTATAACTTTTGCCATCTCTACTATTCTTCATCAAGCCAAAGCAAGAGAGCCTGGGATTACCATCCTGTATATGAGTAACTCGATATAAGGGCAAGACAATACCCAATCTTTTAGAAGCTAAAACCAAAACATATACATAGCACATTTTACCTTATCGAACAAGACTCTGTAAGCATTAAGATCATGATACAATGCCCGTCCCTTACTACTGCAGTACTCCAGAGCTTGCGCCAAATACAGAGCCACCCTCAACCTCATTGCCCACTTCATGGGCTGGTTCTCCCCTACCCCAATTCAACCATTAACATCAGAAAAATAATCCAATCAGAAAAATAATCCACGCTGTGCCAAAACAGTTTGACACAAGAAATATGAGCAATTGCGGAAAAATCATAAAAATCATTAATATTATATGCAGCATCATGACCATTTATATACTAATAATCATGCAAACCATTAATACTATAAGCAGCATCAATGAGCTTTAATATAGTTTTACCAAAGCTTTAAAATTATCGAGAACACCAAAAGCTTGATATTAGATCGATAAGCAAGCACGCTTTTCAATCCCTGATTCCATCCTTAGCCGACTTCAAACGGATAATAAAAATGCAAATCAAATAGCAAAATATACATTATCTAGGAGAATTCACAGCATTCGCGTTTTAAGATTGCCGTCAATTCTTTCCCGGGATAAGATTGAGCACTATCACCCATCAAGAATCGAAGCTATGTAACGTACATACTCACAATGAAATAAATGCTTTGCAAGTGTTTCATTAGGCATGAATTCTGCGACCAACAATCTCTCATCCCCTTCGTAGCAACATCCTATCAGATTTGCCACGCGCTCATTCCTCAGATTTCCCACAGTGCGGGCTTCATCCTACAATAACCCATCACAAAATAACACAATCAGTAAACAAAAACTTTCCCTCGTGATTGCAAGGTAAGCCCAAAAGTTAAATCTTGATTCTTAATAACAGACGTCCCAAAAATGCAAGAACGATCAGAACATAACTTTCCCCTATGTAGCCTTGGGAATAAACCAAAAAATTGCAAAAATATAACATAAACTAGAAAAGATGCACAAAAAGTTGATTAATAATCACTAACAATGAATTGGCGAGAATCAGGCCAAGCAGATTTGTTGAAGCGCTTAACAGCAATCCAGCGATCATTCTCAAGCAAGCCCTTGTAAACTACATTTGGGGCCTTCTCTCCGTGTTCTGATACAATATTCTCTGAAGAAAACCCATTTGTTGCATTTTTCAATACTTCCCAGCTGAACTCGGTAAAGCTTGGCAATGCATTTTTCTCCCCATTCTCTGCAAATCATTGTACAAAATCATTAAAACAAAACCCATAAAAAAACACTTGCAAATGGGTATCCAAAAGGCATATATCTACTGACCCAGATCAGAAGATTGAAGAACGGATGGCTTCAGGTGAGAATGCCACCAGCAGAAGGAAAATTTTGAGCAACGCGCACCCATTTAGCGATAATTTTCAAATGCTCAACAATCAGAAGTTCCTTTTTTTTTTTTAATGAGAAAACACAAATGATGCAAAGAGTTTTTAGTATTAGCACTGAACAAGAAGCATTTTTTTTTTTTTTTGTGTGAATTGTGAAATGAGAAGGGGAAGTGGATTTTGTGGATCCGAGGATAGTTTTTATATCCTGAACAGTACAATCTTTTCAAGACAGACATGCATTACATATTTAAATATGGTATTAATGACATTAATGTGTGTATATATGTATTCGTATATAACTATGATTTCACGCGTTTCGCTTTGTCTAACAGTAGTACATAGATCACAGCGATGTAATATGAATGCATTGTAAGGTCACCTTTTCCCCCTACTTTCTCTCTCTAGTTTCCTGTTTTTCTGCTTTCATGTTTCTTCTTTTATGATAAAAAAAATTTCTCTTTCAGATTTGGTCATTTGCACTTTACCTGTTCTTTTACTACTTGCGTTAGGTCTTAATCTCCTCTCCATAAATAGTGTATTGTACATTTTATAATTTTATTCAAACTATGTGGGACAGACATGCTAAAGCTCTCTTTAAGGTCATTTAGGACTTCAGAGTGAATAGAGACTCCCCTTGCAGTTGCACTGAGTGCTGCAAAAAGGGGCTGAATCTATCATAAACCTACATCATGAATTCTATAAACCCCGCTTATAATGCAATTTAACTCAAAATATGTGGCTGAGTGTTAACAATATATTTCTCAGTGTTGGTGGTGGGGTCGCCTTGGTTTGGATTTCGTTTTCATTTGTTAAAATTTTACTTTTAAGTCAAACGTTAGTTTTAAACGTACATTTTGTAGAATTCACAACTACACTTTTTCACTGTTCATTTCTCGAAAAGTAAAATTTTAGCAACAAGTCCTTGTGTGGCAAAGATTTTTTGAAAAATAATTTTTTTGTACTATGTGATTAAAAAGTAAATAAAGTTACGGAAATGTGAAAAAATGATTTGACTTTTTTTTTCGGAAGAACATACGGTGAAAAATGAGTATGAAATTTTTTTTTTAAGGAATGTGTGATTAAAAAGTGGAAAAAATTATTTAAGAATATATTTTTTTAAATGTGTGGTTGAAAATAGGAGTGAAGGAAATATAAATTTAAAATAATCTATTTCAAGAGCTAAATGAAACTCAAAAACCAATGGTAAGAAAGACTATATTATATTCTTTGCGACTCTAAACCTGTGTGCTGATAATATGACAAGAATTTTGATTTCTCATCGAAAATGTGAACTTAAGAAACTTATGTTTAAAAATAATTATATGCGACAAATTGAAGCGTCATTTTCAACGGGTTATAGTCCAAAAATTCGGTGATGTAGAACATTTCCTAAGTAATTCAATTTATTTAGTTAAAGTTCCACAAAGACTGGATTAGTTAATTGAAGGCTCTCTAATCAATTAAAATTAATTTAGTACTTGATTTGGATTGGTTTGAAATAAACTGCCTATTAATTATTTGATTTAATTACGCAAAATTACACGGCACTGCACTTTCAAAAAGTCAATGATATTTTAGTTTAGAAATATATAGGGATGACAACGGTTCGGTTCGGTCAAAATTATAATCGCGCCATCAAATTTTTGGTCATATCATAACCGCATCATAACCACGTAAGTTGGTTCGGTTCGATTAATAACCACGAAAATAAATTATTTTTTATAAATACAAACTCCAACTGCAAATTGAATAAAAAAAATTTGAAAAAAAGTCAATAAAAACAAAAATATAATACTAAATCAATTTAGCAAACAATATCTCAAATGAAAATACAAACAATATCCTAACTTCTAAATGTAAAATAAAGAAATACAAATGACAATAACTATAAAAATAAAAATTGTTTGACAGATAAATGAAAAATGAAAGCAGAAA